CCCCAAAACCCCAAAACCCCAAAACCCCTTAGTATAACATAGACTTATATGAACTAATCGTGATAAAATTAATAATTTAGCGCCAATTGATTATAATTTGAACATATATTAAAATTTTAATGGATTTCAAGGCTCATATGCTCACAGTAATTTTTTCTGATAACCCATAAATATTAGAAAAACTAAAAGGTTTCTATAGAAACTTCGCCTAGATTTGACAATCAAGTGAATTACTCAAATAATCTATTTTAAGCTAACGATACAATAAGAGATCAGCAGCATTTCCTAAATGAGTTCAATGATTAGAATTTCGGTTCAAGCAATAATCATATCAGTGCAGGAAATAACATTAGATCAATACATTTTGGAAATGATTCTTAATTTCTGAGTTCTAGTAACAATAATGTGAATGAGTTTCCTCATGAAATTGATTAGTTTGAATGACCTTATTATTAAAGTCAAATGCCTATGAATCGTGGCATAGGCAATGAAAGAGATAATATCGGTTTGATAAATAGAAATACATAGAATTCATAGACGAATTTTGATTATCCTTTATTTAGCAGAAGGGGTTTTAACTTGAGTGATAACTCATGGCGTAGCGACGATGATGAAGATTATTCAATGAATGAGGATCTAGAGTTAAACTTTAAGACAGTATGCATTTATCATTTCTTTTTCATAACTTTTAATAGTACAAAAAAGATCAAAGGCCTTTTAAGTCATAGATCCCTAAGGCTGAAGTAAACGATTTGCTTAGAGATACAATTAAAAACAACAATAATTGCTCCTTAGACTCTATCTTAGATACAAGTAGCAACTACCATTAAAATCAAAATGGCATTTTAAAGAAAAGAAGAATGTAGGAGAAAATTAGTAATCAGTAATAGTTAATCTAGCCTCCTCTTATTAATAAGAAACAGAGATTGAATATGCCGCAGGGGATTAATGCCTCTTCACATTAAATGAAACCAAGTTATGATGGTTTCTCCCAAACAAACATCGATAATTTTTTCTTGAGCTATGACTAATAAAGCTAAAATTAGCAGCTTTAATAGCAGTCATAACAGTATGGATAATCAATTTTAAGACCAAACATGCAAAATAACTACTATTACAATTTTAATAATAACTATGGCCCAACAAGTAACAATAATATTCAAATTGGTTAAACTGCTTAACTGAAGCCAGCTCAAAGGTCCAACATCCCTACTAAAAGTATAGAAGTCTAAGTAACTCCTGAGAAACTTGAGGAGGAAACATTGAATGAAGGAGAAAGTAAACTAAAGAAAAGAAGAAGAAGATAAAGAAAGCAAAAATCAAAAGAATCTGACAAATACCCAATAGTCAGAAATCCGAATGAGGAGAATTGGCAATATGAGTATCAGAAATATGCTTAGTAATATGCTTCGGTTTATATGCCAAATCAATACATGATGCCTCAAGCCAGATTTCAACAGCCTCCTTATTATTACTAGCAATAAAACTATATGATAGGTACATAGAATCCCTTTATGTATATGCAACAGCATCATTAGAATTTAGCTGGATTTATGCCAGATTAAGCAGCGCCTTCTCAGCCACCTTAATAATCATTCGATGACTTAAAATTCAAAGAGCACATGCGCGATTACTTTAGAACCATGTTCTACCCCTTTTAAAATGAATAACTAAAAGAGTTAGTTCTTCAAATTGATATCTATATCCAATTGTTATATCAAATGCTACTCCTAGAAGGAAAATCAAAAAGCACTATTGATAATAATTCTATATAAGATAAAAATGGCATTAGTAATGACAAAATCAAGTATAAGATCTACAGTCTACTCTACGATTTTCAGAAGAAAAAGGAGTAGACGCTAAAACCATTCAAGCTTCCTGAATATAAAATACCATTGATAGTTAATTCTGATTAAGAAGCCCTTGTAATGAATCCCTAGGTCTCTTATTTTTAATCACCATTATTAGAAATCGCACCTGAAGTTATTTAATAACTATCCAAGCAAAATTAAGATTCAAAATCTAATATGAAATTTTTGTCGAAATTTCAGCCTCTAATCAATCAGCATCTAATTCCCTCCTCACATAATCAATTAATTAAGGGTTTCGGATCAATCTAAAATTAATAAGGCTTAAATCTTTAGGATTCATTTATTGATGAATCCAGTTAAACAGTTGATTATAAAATAATTGAAGGATAATAACCTCCATCAAACACCACATTCAATTCTTCCCACAACAATAGAAGAAAATTTTCTTATGTAGATGATAATTTTCTACTTCTTGGACTTCGATAATACGGCTATAAGGAAGTAGAACTTATCAGGAATAACTGGCTTCCAAATAAATCATCTAATGAGATTAAACATAGATATAAAAATTTAACATGCGCTAAAGCCCCAGACAACATAATAAAGAGATGGAAGTTAACACATAATATCCCGCTTAACGATAATGAAGAAAAACAGCTAGCGAAGGCAATTAAATGGTTTGGTTCAAATACAAATCGGTGGGCCCTTATAAGTAAATGTTTTCTACCTAATAGATCACCATAATTTTTGAAGCTGTAATTATATTAAATGATACTAATCAAATTATTTTTAGTGAGTACTAGAATATAGTATCTGATCACAGTCGAGCTGAGAGATTCGGGTAACTGATGCTTGAAGATGATGAAGGCCAGAAAGATTTTGAGGAAATTAATCTTGATAAAGTTCTAGAGGATGAGAAGAATTCTGATGAGAATGATGAGAGTCTTTATGATGATGAAGAAGACTCCTAAGAATAGCTTAATAATCTTTAAGATCTACTCGCCAACTATGTCCAAGATGGAGAAAAAAATCAGGAAGAGGGAACAATAATAAGTATTGATTAGTCTGAAGTGAATCCAAAAAGCCTTAAGTAGGATATGAGCGCTCTCAATGATGAGATAAACGACGATAATGAAGCAGATGAATTATACGAGGAAGTCGAACTTTGAAGAAATATTATAATAGGAGATAATCAAATATTGTAAATGTAATTTGAATGAGAATGAATCCCATTGCTGAGTTAATGCTGTCTTGTGTATAAGTAAATATTGATATAATATTAATAAATATTTAAATCATTATCATTATCAAAAATCTAAAATATCGGCAGAGTTTGATATAGATTGAGAACTATACAACTAATATCTCCCTCCTCTTAATCATCCATTTACAGCCTCAAAATAAATTGTTCTATAAATTGTTTTTAATCATATTTACTCTTTGATTTGTATCTGTTATAGCTTATTTATTATAACTTCCTTGGATTAATTACTTGGGACTTGTATTTGAATTCTACCCATTCAAATTAATACTTCTTCCCAGTTGATTGTTCGCTTCGCGTTCATTATCGTTCATTCTCCAAATGTGTTAGTACTCATGCTAACTGTGATGAACTACTTATTAAATATTTGAAGGTTAATCGTCATTAATTACTGGTCGGACAGCACCTTTTTAATCTAATGCTTATTAAGATTTTTCGTTTTATTGAAGATCCTTCAGTTCTGATGCTAATTTCTGATTTGCTATATCTGAGGCAGATACTGAAGATACGGAACCGCCGTTATTAGGGGGTCTATCGACTCCAAGACGGTTAGACTGCATGAAAAACTGAGCAGGATTTTGTTGTAGTTTCAAGTATGACTCTGAATGCCTCATATCATCTAATAATAGGACATTATCAACTTTTTTCTGCTCCTCTAGATACCTTTCAATTATACTTCCTGCCTTCCTCGGAGAATTACTATTTTATGTTGCTATTCGTTAATCATTCAATGCGACTTAAATATTTACGTTGCCGATATTGAGATGCTGCCCATTCGGAATAACTTATTGTTTGTTTTATTATTAGAGCTTTTGTAATTTTTCTTTTTCAGTTAATGTATTTAGCCTTTCGTCAAGCTATTTATCTATTTTATAATCCTTATTGTTGCCTTATATTGAACCGGTGTCTTTTAGTTTCGAATAAAAAACGTTTTCATCCTGTTTTGTATTTTGATTTATCAATTACGAGTTGGTTTGAACTTAAACCTTTTAATTTCGATTACTCAAGGCTTTATTAGCATCCTATATTACTTTTTGCGCTATATTGTCTTCCCTTTAGCTATTTTTAACTGGAGCCATTGCTTAATCTGCAAGCTATTCTAATTGATTTGAATCAGAGGAACCACAGCAATTAAAAAATTTGTCAAAACAATTCTTCATTGGTATATAATTATCTAAAATATTTGCTTTATTTTTATATCTTCATTATTTCATTTAATTCACTCTGATGGGGTTTTGGGGTTTTGGGGAGATCGGAAGA